AATTAAGAAGAAACTGTAGATCTGTATAAAAGTAAACGATATTTGACAAGTTTTAACAAACTTGCTAAAAATTTAACAATTTTTTATCTACATATTTCGTAGAACCCACAAGTACCACATACACATCGTCTACTTGTTAATGGTTGACTTGAACAAAATTTCACATTCTACATTGCGGTAAATATATGTCCCACAAACGCCAAAATGAAAATTCACATTACGTTTTACATTAAATTCTTAGTTTAACTCATTGAAAAAATCATTCCATAATCTCGACCAGGCTTGTCTTGTCTTAATGAACTTTAGGGCGGGCCAAAAGAGGCAAGAGAGAAATACTAGGAACCAAATTTTGCTTGACCAACCAAAAAAGCCAAGCCATGACTAGAGAGGGCAACCGGGGGGTTCAAGGTGGGGGTGCTACGCCACTCCCCCACCTCGCCCCACCTTAGACGGGGCGGGTGGGTGCGGGCCTGCTCTCCTTTTTTCTGTTAAAATATAAATTCAAATTTTTAAAATTTAAAGCAAATAATATTCAAACTAACTATATCAATATCCAAGGCAAGCACTCGAAACAAAAAATGTTCAAAACAATTTTTTTTATTCTTCAAGGGGCGGGGCATCTCCGCCCTGCCCCAGGACCAGAGACGGGACGACAAACCCCCGCCCGCCCGCCCCGCCCGTTTGGCACGGAGTCCCGCGGGGGCAGGGAAAATTGCCAACCCCAGCCATGACCTATCTTCAAGTGGCTAACTAGATTCCATCTACGCCCCTAACTATATATTTACTTTTTCTTTTAGCAATATAATCCAGGATAAAAGGCAAATATTAGCAAGAGATATACTGTGCAGGGAAGATTTCATCAGCAATCATTGAATTTTTAACAAAATCTCAATTTGGTTACTATACTTAGCCCCTGTTTGGTTTAGTTAAAAATCAGATTTTTACTAAATTTTGATAAAATATGTGTGATTGAAAAATTAATGAAAATTATAGATCGCATGAAATGTGTAGTTGAAAATGAGTATAAGAACAATGAGTTTTAGAAAATGGGCTTAATTTGTTTCAATTGGGCCATTGAACTTCATTTTAGCTTCATTTTAATAATTGAACTTTAATTTGGTTTCAATTTTTACTACTCTCTCACCTGTTCTCCAAATTAATGAAAATTATTTAATTGGGAGCCATATTGCGACATGTTTGCGAAACGCCAACTTATCAA